GGTATGTTTTTTTCTTCATGAAATACTCTTTCTTTTTTTTTCTTTTTCAAATACCGCACATCAACCAAATGCCCTAAAATGTTGATCACTACTTCAATAGAAAACTTAAGTAGAGATTTACTTTTGAGACTTATGAAGGAAACAAATTTACAAATAGTAAACAAAAAAGAAAGAAAAACAAAAGTAAAAGGCGTTAATATTCTCAAAGAGAATGAAACGTCGATGATACCAAATTAAACTACCTACTTCTAAATAAACTATGGTATAGGTCCTAATATTGAAAGCACAGCATAGACATTTCTGCATTTAAAGTGTAATAGTGGTCTGTGTGTTGCTAACATCAGAGATAGTTACCAGGTATTTTAATAGATTACCATGCATTAATGATTCTCACAACTTACTTAATTGTCTTTAAATTGTCATATTGTTTTAAACCAAAGAATTAATTTTGACATTACTCATGCTCACACACTAGTAAACAAGCCCCGCCCCCTCCCCCCCCCAAAAAAAATAAAAAAATAATAAAAATACCAGAAGAAAAGGATCAAAATGACTATGAAAAATCACCTCCTCTTTAATTTATGCATAATTATGTTCTTATCAATCCTCCCTCTCTCTCACATGGTGCACCCGCAAGCCTACTGTATGATTATGTTCTAGTTGAGTAGATGCAAGGCTGATGATATACTGTATCATGCATGTACATGTATATATATGTTTTGTAAATGCATTGTCAAACATTAGTATTGTAATAGATGATACAGTAACCTATGAATATTTCACCTATCCGTTGCTGTAACATCTTGATTAAGATTCCCAAGCCACGTTCACTACTAATACTGACCAAGAACAGATAGATCTTTTTCTCTTTTTCTGTCCAAGCACGCTAGTTTTATTTGATTCCTTTCCACTCCCAAAGGAAGAGCATTGTGAGGTCGTGCATGCAACATAACAATTAAAACCCAGATCACTTAATACATGTTGGGCCTTACAGGTGGCTAGACATTCTTAGAAGTCAGTCTGCATTTGTGGCATCACCTTATCCAATCAGTCTTGACATGAGTATTTACTCACTCCCTAACAACCAGGGGGTTTAGAGAGAGAGAGAGTGAGAGAGAGAGAGTGCATGCAAGTTCCGTTCACATTTGGCTCTATACCAATATGCGATTATAGGTAGTCACTTGGTTTGGGAAATAATGAAGAATGTTTGAAAATTCTTACTGATAGTAACAAAAATTTAGACTGGATATTAAGAACTAAATACAAGTGGAATCTTTTATATAAGTTTGAGATGAAATTGAGTCACTTTTTAATAGGTAAGTAGGAGCAAGGGAAGATGAATTAAGAAGATGGTTCTGATGAAACTAGATAACAATGTACATACATGTACTTTCAGTGTACTTGTTTTCAACATGTTTTTTTAAATAAAGTTTTTGTGAACATTTTGCTGGTTTGAAGAAAGACATGGATGGACAAATTTCATGAGTGAATCCAATCAGGGAAGTCCATTTCACAAATAATAGAATCAATATTACTAAGTGTAATTACACAAACTTTCATTTGCCAAAGCTGCTGTTATCAACAGTCCTCAAAGATTCTCGCATTGCATTACATGTATGTTTAAAAGTCCAAATAGAAACACATGTGAACAATTGTGAACTGATGCAAGTTGGTTTGTTGTATGAGCGATGATTGTTTGTCTCTGATATGAAAGGCACCTACATACCAGCAGTGCCTTGGAGGGGATCAGGTATACAAGGCATCAATATTGTCCGCAAAGATTTTCACAGATTTGGTAAACTTTGGGGAGGAACTCCTAGCCTCTCATTTGAGACATATTGTGGGAATACTTGACAGGGAAGATAGTTTGAAAGGGGACTGGTAGAATAGAAAGGGAGCTAGTTAGATGTTTACAGACTGAAAGGCAGTCCCATTTCTAATGCATGGCATTTACAATGTTTATTCGGCTAAAGAGGGAAGTTTTTTTTTTTTTTTTAATTTCATTTTTACCCAAATTCTTTTATCAGGGGATTTAATCGAAATTGAACTTTTAATCTGTATTCATGATTTATAGAAGAATAGTTAGGAGAAACTACTCATGTGAACTTCAAAGTGCAAAATTATCCCCCCCCCCCCTCCCCTCAAGGGCGAATCACAAAAGGGAGATGTCATTTTGAAAGCTTGTAGGTATCCTTGCCCCTTGACCTGCATGCCTCTCATTCTTGTACCTTCAATATATAATATATATAATAATAATATAATATTTAGTTTTTATATAGCGCTTATCACAAATGTCTCTAAGCGCATTTCAAATATATAATATGTGTCTGATCTGTCTGTAGGTTTGTTCAATTATAGAAGATAAAAAGTCCAGGACAAAATTCAAACTGACGAGAGCCATTTATAGAAAAATACTGCAAAGTACATGTACATGTATGCTATGAGTTTGCTATCAGTTAGGAACTCCTTGCATGAAAATTGAGTTTGTAAGTGTGAATGAGATTAATATAAAGTGTTTGAGATGTTAGACTAGGAAGCAAGAGGGAGTGTTCTGACAAGGGACTGGAGCCTTTTAAGGGGTCATGACCCTGGTGTTCAGTGGCAGAGTGCAGGATCAACTACTCAACATGGCTTGAGAACAAAAATTGTCTTGTTGGTACGGTTCAGCTTCAAAAAAAACTTTGTTAAACTGAAACTAAGTTAATCTTCAGTTCTAGTGATGGAAAGCATTTTGAAGGAACATTGTGAAAAGTAATGAAGCTCCCCAGTTAAAATAGAACCATCAGGCCTCACAAATCCTTGTTCACTACGAGCTTATCTATGTTACAGTCATACAGGCAAATGTCTTGGTACTTGGTACTTGGTTGTTGTTGGTTCACTGGTAGTTGCATACATTTTGGCAAACACAACAAAAAACTGAATTTGAAAAATCTACCTCTAGAGTATGGGTTTTTTTAATGCGTGCCAAAGTTTCACCAATTTTTGCAGTGTAAATGCAAATTTAGGTATGATACAGATTTTTGCTCACGTGACTCGCCTGGCTTTCTTGCTAACGCATGCAGAGCACAGACAAGTGGCGCATGCTCACTAGCTATCACCCTAGAATCAGTATGAGCAACCTTTTCTTTTATGGGTTTTTCCAGTTGTGTAAATAGTGAACCAAAAAATCAATGATTTAAAAAAAAAAAGGTGTTTGGGATAAAATTGGTCTAGTGTGAACACACTGAAGTTCAGTCATGTGAACCAACCCTAATAGAGTTCACTGGGAACCAATGTCCTAGTGTGAACACGCTGAAGTTCAGTCATGTGAACCAACCCTAATAGAGTTCACTGGGAACCAATGTCCTAGTGTGAACACGCTGAAGTTCAGTCATGTGAACCAACCCTAATAGAGTTCACTGGGAACCAATGTCCTAGTGTGAACACGCTGAAGTTCAGTCATGTGAACCCACCCTAATAGAGTTCACTGGGAACCAATGTCATAAATCGATTACAGTTTACATTAGCGTTTTGGTTGGGTTGATGAGGGGATCATAAACATGTACCCATTGCTAGCACTGCCTTCCTTCTCCCCAGACTGCAAGTGGTTTGTTGCTAAAGAGCTTATACATTGGAATTCTGTATTGTATTGGAAATCTGTGAAGCAAATTAAGCTTGTATTCTGTTACATGTTTCTATAAAAATGTGGAGCTTTGAAGGCAAAATGCCCTTTGTGGGAACAGTGATTCCAGATGTAGTGAGGGAGTGTAAGTGAGGAAAATATGAGAGAGCTGGCCAGCAGGAGGTGTTGATAATAGTTTAGTGGAGGGTTTGGAACTTTGTAAAAAAACAAGAGTTGTAGACGGATATACCCCAGTTCTGAAACAATATCCCGCAGCCTGGCACTACATGGAAGTTGTTGTCAGTATAAGCAAGGAGTTATGACTGTAATCACTCCTTGATATAAGCACAGGAATTCTAGCTTTGTGAGTGGAATATACCAAAGTTTTGGAGAAAGAGTATAGAGTTTGATCTGATATTTTGCTTTTCTTGGTAAGTTTATGATTACAGTTATGTGATAGAGGTAATATTGAGATGAGTGAATCCTACTTAATTGTCTGGAATGGGGTCAATATTTATCATTGTTTGGCACTTATATATTTTTAATGAGAAATTTGATTAGAATAAGGTTCAGTGAATATTCAGAATATTTGAAAAAAAGGAGCTAGGGGTTCTCAAAACAATGTGCAATATGAAAAGGGAAGTGGGAGCTAGGGGACGTGAAACAAGTAGTTTTCATGTAGGTGTAGGCCTTTAGTACCGTATAATACTTGCTGGATTCTACCTTTTATTTATTTCTATATTGGAGACTAGTATATTTTGTGCACTTCCATCTAAGGCTTAGTTTGTCATCTTGAACTGTCCTTTAAAGGTACTATGTCCCATTTGCAGACCAAAAAAAAAAAAGGTTTAATTTCAATGGCATTTGAAAGATAATACTAATTTAGAACTTCCCTTAAAAAGGGGGGCCAGAAAATGTCTTTAATTTGGAAAATAACGACCATTAGTTGTCAAATCGACTTAGGAGCTATAGAGCCAATAAGTAATAGTCTTGATTTTCAGACCATTGTACCGAATGGTCATACATTTTATGCTGTGCAAAGATTCAATCAGTTTAATTTTGGCCATAACAAGAAGTGGGTTATTGATGTAGACAAATGCTCATGTACCCTTTACAGCTCATTTTATGTATGTTATTACCAAAGAAGGAAAAAAAGCCAGTCAGTCGCTCAATAGTGTCTGACAGTGAAGTCTAGCAAGAAAACGGGTTTCCTTGCATAATTTGAGTATTAGGACACTGCTAACGTCTAAATTTCACAGATAGGACATACATAACATATTCATAATTCCTGCATAGTTCTACAGAATTTGAGATTGGCTGCAAAAGGGACATAGTATCTTTAACAATAAACATACAGGTAGTCTGCAAATAGAGGAATAACGATACCATTTGATAAAAGGAAGTTCAGAATACTTTATTTTTCTTTGCCAATATAGTTACAGTTATTGCCCCAAGCATCTTAAAGCACATATAAGTATACAATTTTGACATTACTTGTCAAAGGCTTAAAGCCCAAAATTCATATATGTTGTATTCCGTTATGTATCTCCTACGGTTGTTTCATTATTTCTTATTCACTTTATATTTGTTTTCCTGTACATAAAATAAGATGTCCTTTGTTTAGATGTAAACAGCTAGATGTTGCTTCAATCAAATATTTGTTTCTGTTTAGTTTTGTGGACAAAAGCACTTGACCTTTGGCTTTGCCCTATATCTTCAGTTTACTCTCTTTATACGATAATCACTGGTTTTGCTAATGCCTAGGTCACATATAAACCGGGCCCCGTACGATTTTCCCTACCCGGCGGCTTGCCGTGGATTTAGAGACCGTACGGGAACCTTCCGATTTTCTTTTCTACGGCATGTGCGGTCACATATTCTGCGGCGCCCGGGAGGTGCCTGGTGAAAATTGGTTGAGTGAAATGCAAGGCGCCCGTAAGGATGCCGGCCGGTAAGCTACGTGCTCAGTCCGATGAGCAGGTGCACCCGTGGCTCCCGGAAGGTGCCCTGCCGGGATCCGGCCGGGGTCCTCAGGGTGCCCTGCTGGGGACTGGCCGGGGTCCTTAAGACGCCCGGCCGGGTCCCGTGCGGTGCACTTAACGATGTGTCCTCTGAAATCCGCACCTCAAGGTTCCCGTAAAGATTTTTCATGAGAATTGACCCCCAAAAATCGTGAGGGGCCCGTCCGGACACCGTCCGGAGCCCGCACGGGACCCGTAAGGTGCCCTGCGGGCCCTTCACGGGCTCTCTACGACCTAACGGTCAGATAAAAACGCCGGGAGAATTGGGAGCAGCCGACTCAGCACCACGGCGCCCGTACGGCTTCAAAAACTGTCCCGGCGCCCGTAGGATCTTTACGGTAGCCGGCCGGACACCGGCCGAAAATTCCCAAAATGTCTGTTTTTACTAGCCGTACGGGCCCCGGAGTGTATATGTGAAAGCCCCATAACAAAATCACTCAAAGTTACATAGGTAGAACTTTGTATTGCTATAATTGTATTCATGTCATGAAGTTGTCATGGCTACCATGCATTCCTATGTCTTGGTGTGTGTTCCATCAATCTTCCCCTTCCCCAGGTTTATACAGGTACAGGTACATGTAAGTGTTTTGTGTAAAGTGAGAGGTGAAGTTAAAGGAGGAGGTACCGAGAACAGAGAAATAATAGATGAAGAAAGAGGAAAGAAGAAATTAGAGAGTGAGATACATGTAGATTGATATAGACGGATACAGAAAGATAGATAGATAGATAGATAAATAGAAAGACAGATAGATAGATAGACAGACAGTTAGATAGAAGATATATAGAAAGATTGATAGAAAGAAAGATACATGAGAAAATGAAAGAAGAGAAATAAAAATGGAGAAGGGGTACATGGAGAGGGGGAGAGATTGAAATAAAAAGGGAGAGACGGACAGGGAAAGAGATGTATTCAGGCAAAAAGTGAACAAAGGAATAAGAGAGTTTAGGCAGACAGCCAACCAAAGAATTAACACCACCCCCCACCCCCCCCCCCCAATGAAAAAAATAAAGAGAGAAACCTGAATATGCGTGAGAAACAGATACACATGTTGATAGACTTCACAAATGTCATAGCCCATTGCAGAGTAGTTTGATAGTGACTTTCCAGAAAAATATGCAATGTAGTAGGTTGTTTTTTCCTCTTTTTTTTTCTTCTTCCAATTTTAAGAGTGCCATGCAAGACCATGAGAACATGCGTTGAATGTTACTTCTGAGTGTGGGAAACATACCTGTATTATTGTTGCGTGTCATATATTTCAACAGGCTATCATTGTCTGGTGTGGTTGAGGTTGAAGGAGTCAAGGTTAGGTTGTCTGCATGGTGTCGTTTCTTTTTTATTTTCTATTAAATCACATGACTAACTGCTTTTGTTCAGAAATCATTTTGTTTTGTGGAGAGCCAGAAGGTCACTGTATTACACAGAGTTAACTCCTTTCTTGCTCTCAACAGGTGATATGAAAATCAGATACACATAACACGTACTTGTACCAGCATATTGTGCTCTAAAGGATATTTATTAGCATTTTTCAATTATTATTGAATCATCTTAATAGAGATACCATTTCATTGTATTTTCGTCATACATGGAACTAGACATGCTACAGCTACTTCTCAATCACTTGTTTTGCTGGGAGTCGGGATTTACATAGAGTCTGTATGCATTGTCCCTTTTTAAACATTTTTAAATATGGGGGCTCGTGTGTACCAGGCACCTGTTAGTGTCTAGCCCTGGCTACGCCACTCTGTGACACTAGACTCCTCTCAGGAATAGCATGTGCTGGAATTTTTCCTTACAGTGTGTTTTGATCGATTGCTGTAGTAGAGTAACAAGAAAAATTGTATTACTTTGTATGCAACCTTATTAAATGACTGGAATCTTTCACTCTCTTGCAATGATAAGCACTGAAGCTAAAATACAGTGACTTTTTTATCTATAAAATCTGAGTAAGTTAAGCTTGTTTTCAAAGTGGAGTTGGACTAAAAAGAGTTCTGAGTTGCTACTGTACATGGATTTTTGTACTAGCAATGGATTTAAATTTCCAGAAAAATGCAGAATAATGTCTCTCCAATGTCCTTCTAACCATTTCCTTTTCTCTCCTCTTTGCAGATCTAACGTGAGGCTGGGAAAGATAGAGGAGACGGTACAATCCATGCAAGACATTGACAGTCAGCTCTCGGAGTTCACAGCTTGGCTGGATAGTGTAGAGGGCCCTCTATCATCCTTATACAGCCAGACGGAGGATAAGGCTGATAGAGAGGACAGGGATAGAGTCAGAGTTTGGCTGCAGCAACAACAGGTACGTAAGCAGTTGCAGGTGGATGGATACTAGCTCTGTATTTGTATTCTTTGAATGGTGGTGGTGGTTATTTTACCTGACTGCTAAGAAAGCATAAATGCTTGTAAGTAAGAAACCAGACGGCCGATGGCTTGAGGTCTTCTCCGAGGGACCTGGTTATGAGGATTAATGCCTTATCAAAGGGCACTGGCGCATCGCCTTTGTTTCAAACTCGGGTCACCGGATTACAAGACCACTGCTCTACCGAATGAGCTACATCACGCCTCCCTTTGTTGATTATTGAGCAATATTGTTGCTCGGTACGTGGTGGATGTGCAGTAGTAATATGCACTCATTATTAATACTTTGAACAAAATACATTCTGTACATGGCATTGAGCTATTGTACGGTTGATACACTTAGATGCTGGCCAAATCGATTTGAAAAAGTCATGCCCCAAATTCATATTTTTTGCTGAAAAGTTTTATTCTACACATTACAGAACACACTTATATTAATTTCAACTTGTGAGACTGAGACTTAGAAAATTTGTGCGAAATGTCTTCCGGACTAGAGTGTGGACAAAACTTTGCTGTGCGCCCCTCAAATGCAGCTCCCGGCCAGTTGACAGCCAGTTGACAAACCATAATGCAGTATGCACGGTCAATGTCGCTATTCATAAGGACCGCTATTCATAAGGGCCGCTATTCATAAGGTCCACTATTCATAAGGACCGCTATTCATAAGGTCCGCTTTTCATAATTGGAGAAAAGGGTCATTATTCATAAGAACCGCTATTCATAATCAAAGAAGAGGGTCGGTATTCATAATAGGAAAAGAGGGTCGCTATTCATAATACGACATGAGGGTCGCTATTCATAAGGGTCCCTATTCATAATATTACAAAAGCGTCGGTATTCATAACACAGAAAGAGGGTCGCTATTCATAATACGAAATGAGGGTCGCTATTCATAATACGAAATGAGGGTCGCTATTCATAATGGAAAATGAGGGTCGCTATTCATAAGGGTCATTATTCATAAGGGTTATTATTCATAATCGATGAAAAGGGTCGCTATTCATAATAGGAGAAGAGGGTCGCTATTCATAATAGGAGTAGAGAGTCGCTATTCATAATACGAAATGAGGTTCGCTATTCATAATAGGAGTAGGGGGTCGCTATTCATAAAAGGAGAAGGGGGTCGCTATTCATAATAGGAGAAGAGGGTCGCTATTCATAATACGACGTGAGGGTCGCTATTCATAATAGGAGAAGAGGGTTGCTATTCATAATAGGAGAAGAGGGTCGCTATTCATAATAGGAGAAGAGGGTCGCTATTCATAATAGGAGAAGAGGGTCGCTATTCATAATAGGAGAAGAGGGTCGCTATTCATAATAGGAGTAGGGGGTCGCTATTCATAATGGGAAAGGTCTCTATTCATAATACGACATGAGGGTCGCTATTCATAATAGGAGAAGAGGGTCGCTATTCATAATAGGAAATGAGGTTCGCTATTCATAATAGGAGTAGGGGGTCGCTATTCATAAAAGGAGAAGGGGGTCGCTATTCATAATAGGAGTAGAGAGTCGCTATTCATAATACGAAATGAGGTTCGCTATTCATAATAGGAGTAGGGGGTCGCTATTCATAAAAGGAGAAGGGGGTCGCTATTCATAATAGGAGAAGAGGGTCGCTATTCATAATACGACGTGAGGGTCGCTATTCATAATAGGAGAAGAGGGTTGCTATTCATAATAGGAGAAGAGGGTCGCTATTCATAATAGGAGAAGAGGGTCGCTATTCATATTAGGAGTAGGGGGTCGCTATTCATAATAGGAGAAGAGGGTTGCTATTCATAAAAGGAGAAGAGGGTCGCTATTCATAATACGACGTGAGGGTAGCTATTCATAATAGGAGAAGAGGGTCGCTATTCATAATAGGAGTAGGGGGTCGCTATTCATAATGGGAAAGGTCTCTATTCATAATACGACATGAGGGTCGCTATTCATAATAGGAGAAGAGGGTCGCTATTCATAATAGGAAATGAGGGTCGCTATTCATAATAGGAGAAGAGGGTCGCTATTCATAATAGGAGAAGAGGGTCGCTATTCATAATAGGAGTAGGGGGTCGCTATTCATAATGGGAAAGGTCTCTATTCATAATACGACATGAGGGTCGCTATTCATAATAGGAGAAGAGGGTCGCTATTCATAATAGGAAATGAATTATGAATAGCGACCCTCATTTCCTATTATGAATAGCGACCCTCTTCTCCTATTATGAATAGCGACCCTCTTCTCCTATTATGAATAGCGACCCTCTTCTCCTATTATGAATAGCGACCCTCATTTCGTATTATGAATAGCGACCCCTTACTCCTATTATGAATAGCGACCCTCTTCTCCTATTATGAATAGCGACCCTCTTCTCCTATTATGAATAGCGACCCTCTTCTCCTATTATGATTAGCGACCCTATTCTCCTATTATGAATAGCGACCCTCATTTCGTATTATGAATAGCGACCCTCTTCTCCTATTATGAATAGCGACCCTCTTCTCCTATTATGAATAGCGACCCTCTTCTCCTATTATGAATAGCGACCCTCTTCTCCTATTATGAATAGCGACCCTCATTTCGTATTATGAATAGCGACCCTCTTCTCCTATTATGAATAGCGACCCTCATTTCGTATTATGAATAGCGACCCTCTTCCCGTGTTATGAATAGCGACCCTTATAAGTAATGAACCTTATTACGTATTATGAATAGCGACCCTCTCGTCGTATTATGAATAGCGACCCTCTTCTCCTATTATGAATAGCGACCCTCTTCTCCTGTTATGAATAGCGACCCTCTTCTCCTATTATGAATAGCGACCCTCTTCTCCTATTATGAATAGCGACCCTCATTTCGTATTATGAATAGCGACCCTCTTCTCCTATTATGAATAGCGACCCTCATTTCGTATTATGAATAGCGACCCTCTTCCCGTGTTATGAATAGCGACCCTTATAAGTAATGAACCTTATTTCGTATTATGAATAGCGACCCTCTCGTCGTATTATGAATAGCGACCCTGATTTCATATTATGAATAGCGGTCCTTATGATTAATGACCCTTAATATGAATTATGAATAGCGACCCTCATCTCACGTTATGAATAGCGGTCCTTATGATTAACGAACCTTATTTCTTTATGAATAGTGACCCTCTTTTACCATTATGAATAGCGGACCAGGAAGTACGGGAATTTCCACGTTATGAATAGCGGTCCTTATGAATAGCGGACCTTATGAATAGCGGTCCTTATGAATAGCGAATAGACCCCGTATGCACATGGCAAGGACTTCATGATCTATACACCATAGGCTATCCACTGTAGTACAGTGGCTTGCTGAGCAGTCCCCTGCTGAGCTGAGCTGAGCCAGCTGACAGAAACATTGTATGCATATTCATAAGGGGACCTTCTTTTTTTTTTTTGTTGGTGTGCGAGGTCACAGGGGTCACATCTCATTAATTTTGGACCAATACCAAAGTTTTCTGGCCTTTTTTTCTTTCTTGGGAAGGTGAATTATAAGGACAAGCGCGTGCACACACTCAAACATGAAATATTTAAAATAAGCAGAATCTGGTCTAGAGACTCTAGGTAAACTGTAGAGGATATAAGTTGGTAGGCATTGTTGGACATTGATGACTGGTCGAGTTATAAATGTTGATATTGTGGGTATTGCTGCTGGATTGAACAGTGGTAGATGTATGTGTATGTAAAGTGGTAGGCATAGTTTCATAATTCACAGTGGTGGATGTAATACATAGAAGATATTTGTTGTGTGGTTGAGAATTAAGCGGGTGTGAGGTAGGGTGATGTAAGTAGTGGTGTGTCTGGCATTGGTAGACATACAACTGTTGATATTTGATGTTGCTGCTTGTTAAGCAGTGGTAGATGTAAGGTGGTATGTGTTGTTGCCTTGTCGTATGCTGTTGACTCCTGTGAATGGAAATGTAGTCAACCCTTTAAAGCGAACATTTTAATTAATTTTGGTGTCATGTGATTTGTCCATATGAATTACAGAGTGAAATGTGTAAAATGTTCTGCAAATAGCTCTTTTAGATACCAGGTAGAAGTAGTATGATGATTGAAAGTTGCTGTGGTGCACTGTGAATGGTGAATATTCTCACAAGCAGTGAGATTGAAATGATTGAGAATGTTTAATTTAACAAGATTCATGCAAGAAATTCATTGTTTGTAGGTATAATTAGTGAATGGTTTTAGAGCCTTTCTATGCCTCAGCTCACCAAAGGTGTTGCCAGAGGAATTATTTTTTCAGTTATGTATTAAGTTTTGTCATTTGACTCGCAGATATACTATACTGACATGTTGTGGTGACTGAATGCTGAAGCAGTAGATGTACTGTACAGTACCTCACATCTGAGCTCCAGTTCAGATTGATAATACTATATGGTATGTGATCAGTAGAGGGCAGTAGAGGGGTTTCACTAAAGAGGACATCATTTGTTTTGTTGAGTTTTGCTGAATGCAGAGGGCAGACCAATTATGCTGTACATTCACAATGTCTGCTTTTGTCTTGATACTAAGACATTTCTTAAAGTAATCAAAAGAACAAGACTAGCTGATGGGAAAAAATACAAACAAGGACAGAGATAAAGACATTTTAAGATAATGATGAGCAGAATACATGAGAGAGAGAGAGAGAGAGAGAGAGAGAGAGAGAGAGAGAGGGGGGGGGGGGGGAGAGGTATGAAGAAAAGAGATGGAGAAAGTAAAAGCACAAAAGGAGAGGGACAGAGAAGGGGGAATGGGAAATATGATCCAGAGAGGAGACATTGCAAAACAATAAACAGCCTGATATTGGGTCAAGTACAGACTTATATTATTTCATCACTTCCATCCACTTCACTAACTTCATCCCCTTTTTAAATGAACTCTCCAAACTCCCCAACCATTTTCAAACGCTAGTACAACTAGTCTTTTTCCATCAAGGAACGCAAAACAAAGAAACTGATACCATATAATCCTTCTTGGGGTAGTTGCTCACATCCATTATAAGTATGTATGTGAATAGTTCTAGTCCTATTCATTTCACTCAATTATTTGTGTATCTGATGACAAGATAATGTACTCCCAATGCGTTTTTCCAAGGAATAAATTTGTCTAGAACCACATTACACTAAAATACATGTAGAGCCTGTCAGGATATTTAAAAAATCTACAACCGATAATTGTTGCTTGGTTTTTTTTCTATTATTTTTTAAATATAAAATAAAAATAAAAAAATCTTATCACATGTGCTCACAACATGAAAAACTAGAAGCTCTGATAGAATTGTATTAATGTGGAAATACCATTGTTGATTCTCTTTGAGTAAGCTTGGGTGCTGCTTGTGACTTCCAAAGAGTAGAGGACCTGTTTTCTATGGGCTTATCTGCATTTACGTCTTCAACGTTTTGGGGGAGTTTAAATTAGTTTAAATTATTTTTCCAATTTGTATTGTTTTGTCAGCTGAATGACATTCAGTGATATTCTGAAGGTTAGAAGCTTTCTATTGATATTATTATCTTGATATTTTTAGATTTACTTTTAATGTCTACTTTAAAAAACCTCAATAGCGGTGTATATTTATACTT